TTGTCATTAAGATCACACTATAGAAACCGCCTAAAATTAAGTATAAAGAAGAGAAGAAAGCGGCCCTAGGCAGCTGCCTACACATGCCAGGATCCACCAAAACCGCCTAAAATTAGAAATTTACTAAAAACAAGCCTATCGCAAGACATCTGGTAGGGGGGCACCTGGGGTGGCCAGCCAAATTTCAGGGGGGGGGCCGGTGCCACCCCTGGCCACAACGTAGACACGCCCCTGCTATAGAGTTGTTCAAACACAAAAAGCAACATCTATCAAGTTAACAATCAAACTAACCTAAAAATCTGTGGGGATGATGACGCTGTGTTTTTATCTGCTCCATGTGCTAACTCATGTTTTCCCCTCTCTCCTCATTTTTTTCTCTCACTATTTTTTTTTTTTTAGAATAGTTGACATTTTTACTTATCGAAGATTGTTATTTGCATGACCATTTCTAGATTAGCCTACACCAGAATGAAGTGAAGAGAGGTAAATGCAGACTTTAGGCGCAGCGATCACCTGATAGATAGGCTACGTGCACAGTTTGTTCAAAAGTAAAATATATAATAAATGCATTTCATTGGTAAACCAATCAATGTGACATTTTAATCTTTAATGGTAATGCATGGAATTTACGGAAAAACTCCACTAAGTAATAGCGCTAAAAAAGTGAGGGGCGTGGTGGGGCTTTGGCGATCGGCGCTACCGATGTCCGTCAAGCTACTCCACAGCAATCACGGGCCCACTCCTTGCTCGGGCCCCGGGGCTTCAGCCCTGCCTAGCCCAATGGTTAATCCGGCCCTGTGCCACAACCGCGAATATAACACATAATTACTGTATTTGCATTACCGTAAGGGTAGGTTTATGGTTGGGGTAGGTGTAGACGTTAATAAACCATAATTTTACAGGTAGCATTTGTCGAATTGTACTACCCACTGTTTTAACGGGAGGTAGCAAAATCTGACCGGGTAGCACAAATCGACAGAACACCAGAATTCTGTCACGGCTCGCCTACAGTGGCGGAAAGAGGAGACGAAGGAGCCCGGAAACCAAGGGGATTAACATCAACAACAGTCTTTATTCATCCAAATACCAAGGAGTAGGCTACACAAGTAGACTGAGGGGTTGACGAACAATTCCGGACGCTGGACATGGAAACACAGGGCTTAAATCAAGGGACTAATCAAGGAATAAACCAGGAGATTAAAGGAACACAGCTGAAACTAATGGAACTCAAATGGGAACAGGAACAGGAAAACCAAATATGGGCATAATCATAAACATGGAGCACGTGGGGGAGGAAAACACAACACGAAACATGGAACAGAGCCTG